AATTACTATGAAGTTGATATAGATTGGAAGGTGAAAGATTGGTTGCAATCAGTCTCCAAGTAAGAGATTGTTATATATGGAGTATGATTATAGAGTTTTGAGGAATCCCAACACATGGAATGGCGCCTGTCGCCTGACACCTAGCGTTATTCAGCAACACCTGGAGTGGCTCCTCAACACCTGGAGTGACACCTTAGCGCCAGTGAGTAACACCTTGCTTTTAGGATAGACCCTTGGAATTGCTGCGCCCAGGAGGGGCTCAGCCACACCCTCCCCGAATCAAACGCTTGTAAACCTAGCGCCCAGGGGTGGCCCTTAGGTGCCTATAACCAAATTTCTGTAGTTCGGTGTTTAAATTTCTTTTTTGCTGTCAGAATGAAGAGTTTATGTCGAAGGCTTTATATTTTGTGATTTTTTATTAGTGTTAGAAGTTAAGAGCATTCTTGTGTTTCAAAATTATATAGAGAGGGTTGAGTGTAGCGTAATCTATATATTTATCTTCTTTTCTTCATAGTGAATTTTTTGGTGCGGTGTGGTTCTTCCATTTTTTTATTGCTTTTGGGATTTTCCGAGTTAAATCGTAGAGTTAGTGTTTTTTTGTGAATTCTTTTTTGTGTGCATCTGTTCAAAGTTTTGTTTATGATTTCTTGAATGGTATTTCCTCATTTCCGCACATATATCTGGTCACAACATGAACTTAAATACAAGTTAATGATTTTGTGTCTGGGTATTGTCAGCATGGACTGGTGCATTACATCTTGTTTGCCACATTATTTTTTAGTCACTTTTAAAACTCGACTATGATGCATGACATCTTTTTACCTTTGGTTGTTAATGCCTATTTTCAAGTTTTAATTAGAAGTGATATTTATGGTTGGTAGAGTTCTTAGTCTAAACATAGTACAAGAGAAAGCCACATTTCAATGTTCTAAATGATCACTGATAACCCCAATTACATAAGCTTACTTATGGACGCTTACTTATGGTCTTTGAGAAAGCAATTTATCTTTGGCAGTTTCCTCTGCATGGCTATAATAAGTAATTTTGCAATAACAACTACATTTTGTTTAAATTAATGAATAGAAGAGATCATGTGTTGTAGTTATAAATTTACATTATCGATTAAGAGTATGTACATAACACTGTCATTGTCGGGTCCTAAGTCCTGGATGTGAAAAAGTGAGGGTTGCATTAGGTAGTCGAAAGTCAGCGTAAAACTTATAAAAAAATCATGACATAAAACCTTTTAATCATTGTGTAAATGCTAGGGCGTCCCCTGGAAGCGACACACCGTATGACCTGAATACAGTGAAAAGTGTGCAAGGGCCGCTACACCGGCGCCTGGGTGCAATGTCTAATAGCAAGAGTTTCCGCATTATGGATGGATGCAGACAAAAAAGTTAGTCCATGAAACTAATAGTAGGATGAGATCTTGAAATATAGGTAGTCTCACAGGTAAATTAATGAAATTAGCTGATATTTTGATTTATAGAAAGAAAAATATCTTATGTATTCAAGAATCTAAATGAGTTGGAGAAAAGACTAAAAAGATTGATAACTTAGTTTTTAAATTTTGGTATTCAGGTAAGTGTCACACTAGATGTGGTGTAGGTGTAATTATAGATAAGAGTTTAAAAGATAATATTGTAAAAATAAATAGAATTGGAGATATAGTTATAGCCTTTATGATTATTGTTGATACTAATATTTTTTAATATTATAAGTGTTAAGGCTCCTTAAGCAGGTTTAAATATAGGTTCTATAGATAAATTTTGAAAGGACTTAGAAGATTTAATACAAATGATACCTCTTGAAGAAAAGATTTTTATTTGAGCAGATTTAAATGGACATGTTAGAGTGTTAGAAGCTTTTAAAAATATTCATGGTGGCTACGGTTTTGGAGTGATTAATGTAGAAAGTAGAGCCCTATTAGATTTTGCTTTATCGTATGATTTTATTATTACTAATACTCTATTTAATAAATGAGATGAACATATTATTACTTATAAGAATGGATCTAATAAAATACAAATTGATTATTTTCTTATGAGAAGAAGAGATTGTCAAGAATGTAAATATTGTAAGGTCATACCAAGTGAGGATTCAAGTACTCAACATAGAGTATTAGCTCTAGATTTTAAGATGAAGAGTTGTAAAATAAAGAATATTATGAATCATCATCGTAGAATTTGATGAGGCTACATAAAAGACAAATAAAATTATTTTATGAGTAAAATTTAAGATTTCAAAATTTGGGATATTCATGAAGAAACAAATTCTATGTGGGACAAAATAAACAAGCGACAAAGATGTACTTAGAGAATAAAAAGAAAAGACTTCTATAAATAAAAATAGTTTGTAGTGAAATAATAATGTATACGAAAAGATAAAATATAAGAAGTTATGTTATAAAAATTGGTTTAAATGTAAAAGCTTAAAGAACTGAGAAAAATATCAAACGAGCCGTAGGGAATCTAAAAGAATAATCAGTGATGCTAATAATTCTGCTTTTAGTGATCTTTTTAATATATAAGATACTAAGGATTGTTAAAATATATCTATAAACTAAGCCAAACAAAGAGAAAAGAAACATAAAGATTTAACTCATGTAAAGTGTATTAAAGATGAAAATCATGAAGTGCCTTTTCTTATAAAAAAAATATTCAACATAAGTGGGTGAGTTATTTTGATAAACTTTTTAATAAAGTTTCTGAAAATGCGATCGATCTTAGTGCCTTAGTGATCTTGCTATCGTTAATAATAATAAAATGCTTCATTTTTACCATCGCATTAGTAAAAAAGAAGTTGGGGAAGCTTAAAAGAAAATAAAGGGTGGAAAGTCTGTAGGACCTGATGATAGCCCAATTGAACTGTGAAAATATAGAGGATATTTGAGAGTTTCTTGGCTTACTAAACTCTTTAATATTATTTTGAAAACTAAAAAGATACCTGAGGAGTGGAGGAAGAACCTGAGGAGTGGAGGAAGAGGTGGAGGAAGAGTATTTTGGTTCTTATTTTTAAGAATAAAGGAGATGCACGAGAGTGTGCAAATTATAGAAAAATTAAGTTAATATGTCATACTTTAAAATTATGGAAGAGGGTAATTGAACATAGGTTAAGACGTATTACAACGATTTCTCATAATAAATTTGGATTTATGTCGGGCAGGTCTACCATGCAAGCTATGTAATTATTGAGAGGTTTGATGGAGAAGTTCAGAGATTATAAAGAGGATCTACATATGATTTTTATTGATTTAGAAAAAGCTTACGATAAGGTTCCAAGAGATATTCTTTGCGGTGTTCTTTAGAAGAAAGTTGTTGATATGACTTATATTCAAGTCAGTAAAGATATGCATACTAGAGCTATTACTTGTGCTCAAACATAAGGAGGATTGACCAAATATTTTGCTATTTCTTTTGGATTACATCACGGATTGGATTTAAGCTCATATCCTTTTGCTTTACTTAAGGATGGTCTTAGTGGACATTTACAAGAGGATGTACCTTGGTGTATTGTTTTTGCTAATGATATCCTTCTCGTGGATAAGACGATAGAAAGCTCAGGAAAAACTTGAATTATGGAGGTCTACATTGGAGTCTAAAGGCCTTCATTTGAGTGGATTTAAAATTGAATACATGGAATGTAATCTTAGTAGTAGTAGCTCTAGTGACAAAATTTTAACTATGGGTGATCAAATTATTAAAAGGTGTGAACGTTTTAGATATCTCCGGTCTATCGTTCAAAGTGATGGTGATATAGACGGGGATGTTATTAGTAGAATTTAAGCTGGTTGGTTGAAGTGGAGTAATGCTTTGGGCCTATTGTGTGATAGAAAAGCATCGCTTTGACTGGAAGGAAAATTTTATAAGATGGTGGTGATACCTGCAATGCTCTATGATGTTGAATGTTGGATGTTGAATGTTGGCTTTTAATTGAATGTTGGCTTTTAAAAGAGAAGTATAAAACTAAGTTAAGGATTGCAGAGATGAGAATGATTAGGTGAATGAGTGGCTTTACACTTAGATACATACAAAATGCGAAAATGCGAAATGAAAATATTCATGATAGGGTTGGTGTAGCTTTAGATTCGAACGTAATTAGAGAGAGTCGTCTTTGATGGTTTGGTCACATTAAATGTCTGCCATCTGATGATCCGATTAGGAGAGTAGATGTTTTAGATTCAACTTATGTTAAGAAAGGTAGAGGTAGACCTAGGAAAACTTGGGCATATTGTATAAAAAAGGATCTTAATTTATTTGAATTAAATGAAAATATGACACTAACTAGGACGCAATAGAGAAAAAGGATTCATTTAGCTGACCCACCCACTTAGTGGGATAAAAGTTTTGTTTGTTGTTGATTATGAGTATGTATAGAATCAAAAAGCTTTGTCCTTTAGTATCACTAAAATTGAATGCTCTTTTTTAGCTTGTGTTTGATTGCTGGAAATTTGAGTGAAATGAAATGGATAAAAAATAAAATGCTCAAACCAATGGCCATAGATTCATTATCAATCCCAAAATTGTTGAGATTTCAATTCATTTCCTTGCCTTTCGTTCAATTCTATCAAAGTTAAAATAAATGGAAAATTTGCATAGAGAATTTTTTTTTCTGCATTCCTGTTATTAATCATTTGAGAAATAAGGTGGAGGTATGATTTTGCTTTAGGACTTCATATGCACAATATTCACACGAAATATCATTGTCTTTTTAACTGAATATCAATGTTCTTTTTTGTATGCTAAAGGTACCATTTGCATGGGTTATTCTATTTTCATTGCTGTTATGAATCTTAGGAGAATATAAGCTGATATTGATTTGGTCTTTTGTTTGAGATGGATTTACATAGTATGCTCTACTAAATATCATTATTTTTAGTATCATTGAATTTTAAAATTGCTAGGTGAATGCTACTTAGGAAGTTATATGTCTAGTAAACGTGTTATTATTGCTTGCTTTCTTATTTTGCCGTTCACTGCAACTCTAATTAAATGCAGGCAGAAATTCAAACAGAAAGACAAAGAATTTTATTGTTGGACACATCCAAATCGCCCGTTGAATCTATAAGATCTGGAGGAAGATATGATTTCATCGTGGAACATGATGTTAAGGAACTAGGACCTCACACGTTGGTAGCATTTGCATGTGTTACAAATATTTTTCTTACTCCTATTATCATTGATAATTAAATATATAGCTCTTGTAATTGTTAGGCTTGTTTGCACTGCGCTCTACAATGATGGTGATGGGGAGCGTAAATATCTTCCACAATTTTTCAAGTTTGTTGTTGCAAATCCCCTTTCAGTCAGAACAAAGGTAATCGTCCATTTTCTATGACGAAGATAAGTTATCAACCCAATTGAGTGATATACTTTATGCTCCCTCATGATTTCATCCTTTTTTGTTAGCAATTATGAATTTAAGACGTGTATCTTTGAAATTTAAAGCAGAGTTATTAAGACGTAGTTAGAATGCTAACCTGATGACCTTTCCCCTTACTTTTCTGCAGGTTCGCACTGTGAAGGTAGGCTTTTAGTTTGATCCATGCAACTAATTGGGAGTAATTATATCATATGCTTGATGACTGGCTAGTGTTTCCAAATTTCAGTCCATGTGAACGCAATATCTCTTGCCACTAAGCAGCATTGGCACTTAAAGCATACGAATATCACTAAATTGTTTTGGTTTAAAATTTCATAGAAGTTATAAACATGATTTCTGATAGTATGCAGTTCGTTTAAGCAGTTTAAAGCATCCTTTTTTAACCCAGCTAACAGTGAATTATAAAATAGTTTTAAGCATGACATCTGATCTTCATCTTGTCTTGATTACTCAACTGTTAATTTTTAGATGGGAGAATTATTCTCATTTACATTAATATTAATACTACTGTCCTCAAACGTACCATATAGGCATGTGAGAGGTCTCATGGAGGTGGCAATAATTTTCACATTACCCTTTTATATGATGTTATGTGATCTAGAACACTTCCCTGTGTTTGAACACAATGAGGATTGACCGATATTTTTCTATTTTAGTTAGATTACATCGGGAATCAGATTTAAGCCCATATTATTTTGCTTTAGTTATGAATGTTCTTACTGGGCATCTACAGGATTATGTTCCTTGTGTGTTCTTTTTGCTTATGATATCTTTCTTATGGATAAGACTAGAGAGAGTTCAAGAAAAACTTGGATTATGGAGGCCAACTTTAGAGTCTAAAGGCTTTCACTTGAGTAGATCTAAAGTTGAATAAATGTAATGTAATTTTAGTGGTGAGCTTGTAACAACGGTTGATCAAGTTATTAAAAGGAGTAAACATTTTAGATATCTAGGGTTTATTGTTCAAAGTGATAGTGATATGGATGTTATTAGTCGAATTCAAGTTGAATGGTTGAAGTGGAGGAATGCATCATGCCTATTGTGTTGTCACGACCCAACCCGAGGTTTGAAATTAACGAAGATAGGTACAGACTGTCGGACGGTGAAAAATTAATTTTTTTTATTCATTTTTTATAACTAACATTTAACAAATGAAAGAACCACTACAATTAAAAAGTTAAACTAAAATAGCTATCAATTTGCCTTTGGTTAGGTTGTCTATGTCTTTTATAAACATTTTCTCTAATGCTATTCATTTTTTAATTAAATGATTAAACCTAAAATATTATTTTAAATCAATAGCGAGTTAACCATAACAGTGAATACTCATACTCCTAAAGTATGGTAAGACATTAAAAAGAAAGTAATATGCATGTCAATTAAATTTTATATAAATCAATCTAAGAGTATTTGAAGGTTTTACAATCTAATATGATTATTCTTGATAATTATTGTTGAGGTGTGTCTGAGATGAAAATAAGATTGGGAGAATTAATTTGTAATCCCTTAAATTAAGGGAATTAGAATTAATTTGTAATCCTTCAATTTGAGGGAATTAGTTAAATAGTTTCCAGATTTAGGAATGTCAGTTTTGAGTCAGTTTCCTATTTTTTTTCCTTGTAATCTCCTATATAATACCATGTATTATCAATTAAAAAAAACTGGAAATAAAAAATTATTCTCTCCTTTCTGATTTACCACATGGTATCAGAGCCAGGTTCCAAACCCTAGAGTATTCTACTCTGCAACTTTTACCTGTATCCCCTTGCCGTTGATTCCTTTGCCGCTGACTCCTTTGCTGCTGATTCTTTTGCCGCTGGCGCCTTCCTACAGGAATTTTAATCAGATTCCCGTCTCTATGCACAGGAATTTGAATTGGATTCCTGTTTGTATGTCGTGAGGCCTCCCTACCCAGCTGCGGTTCAGAAAATTGGATCAAATTCATAATTCAACCATTCCGAAGAATCCAATGCGGTTCAGAAAATTGGAGTGTTGCAGAATATTCGGGCATCCAACAGGTTCAATAGAAAGAACTATCTCAAATGGTCCCAAATTGCCCGCACATACCTAAAGGGCAAAGGGAGACTTAATCACCTACTTGGAACCCGACCAAAAAAAAGGATCCAGCCTCTGCCGCATGGGATGAGGAGGATTCCTTGATTATGTCCCGGCTATGGGATTCCATAGACCCAACAATCAATGACACTTGCATGTTCTTGAATACCGCAAAGGAAATCTGGGACTACATCAACCGGACATACTCGAAGGCTCGTGATGCTGCCCTTGTGTATGAAATCAAGGAAAAAACCGGAGCCACCAAACAAGGAGACAAATCTGTCACAGAGTATGCAACTCTGTTGCAAAATCTTTGGCAGGAACTATCGAGTAATTGAGATGAAATGCCCTGATGATGCTGCCACTTTGAAGAAGTTCATTGAGAAGGATTAGATATATGATTTTTTGGCAGGATTGAATTCTGAATTTGATCATGTTAGGAGCCAAATCCTCGGCAAGGAGGATACACCGTCTCTAGAAGAGACAATCTCATTAATCTGAGCAGAAGAAAGTTGGAGTGTCATGCTAGAACCACATACTATGGATGGTTCAGCCTTAGCAGCAAAAACAAATCAAGAGAAATCGAAGAATGATCTGCCTAAACACTCGGGTAGAGATAACAAAGGGAAGGAGAACAAAGACAATCTTTGGTGTACTTATTGCAAGAAACGCAAG